AGGAGGAGGAGGAAGAGGAGGAGAGGAAGAGGAGAGGAGGAGGAGGAGAGGAGGAGGAGAGGAGGAGGAGGAGGAGGAGAACAACTGTGGGGTCTTTGATGCTCTCTGTGCTTGGTGGTTTTCTGGCAGACATTTCATGACCCGACTAAGCATCATCATCAATGCTAGGAGGAGGAGGAGAACTGTGGAGTCCTTGGTACTCTCTGAGCTTGCTATTTTCTTGCAGATGTTTCATTACCCAAATAGGTAACGTCATCAGTGCTAGAACTGAGGGGGGGGGTTACAGATGGGGTGGGGGAGAAAGGACCGAGGGAGGAGGAAGAGGTGAAAGGAAGGAATAGGAGCTGTGAGGTCCTTGGTGCTCTCTAAGCTTGGTGGTTCCCTTGCAGACATTTCATGACCCAACTAGGGAACATCATCAGTGCCAGGAGGGAGAGGGGTTGGGCAGAGGGGAGGATGAGGATGGGATCCTTGGTCCTCTCTAAGCTTGGTTGTTTTCTTGCAGACGTTTCATGGCCCAACTAGGGGACATCATCAGTGCTAGGAGGGAGTGGGTTTGTGCAGAGGAGGAAGAGGAGGAGGAGGTGGGGGTGATGGAGGAGGACGACTATGTGGTCCTTGACGCTCTCTGACCTTGGCATAACTCTTGCAGACGTTTCATGGCCCAACTAGGGAACGTCATCCCTGCGAGCAACAAGCTCAAGAGACCACCAGACTTCAACCCTGAGCTACAAATTTCCTCTCAATGCACATTCAAATATTACACAATAAGCATGAAACTCAACAGAGACGGCCGAAGAAGGAAGCGACGCACGCTCAATCCCTTTTTCCACCTCTGGTAGGGAATGCCACCAATGAACTAATTGGCTAATTAACTGGCAATGGAGTGGGAGGGAAACGCTCTGCTAACCAAGAGATGCTTCCTACATTTCAGGAGCTGCTCTCTGAGATCCTGGTTTTTTTTTCCAGCACATGGGTGTCCACCAACAACTGGGGGGGGGGGGGGGGGGATTTACTCCTATATAAACCACTAGATTCCTCACAGAGATTCCTCTGTTCTGTTCTGTTCTATTCTATTCCTATTATCTTTTTTTTTTTTTTTTTTGGCTTAATTAAAATTTGAATTCTTAGACTAGGGGCCTCCAACTTTAAGACACGTGGACTTCAACTCCCAGAGTTAAACTATGTCTAGTTTAAGGAAAAGAAGGACCAGGGGAGACATGATAGCAGCCTTCCAATATCTCAGGGGCTGCCCCAAAGAAGAGGCAGTCAAGCTATTCTCCAAAGCCCCTGAAGGCAGGACAAGAAGCAACGGATGGAAACTCCTCAATGAGAGAAGCAACCTAGAATGAAGGAGAAATTTCCTGACAGTGAAGACCATTAACCAGTGGAACTGCTTGCCTCCAGAAGTTGTAAATGCTCCAACACTGGAGGTTTTTAAAAATATGTTGGATAACCATTTGTCTGAAGTGGTATAGGGTTTCCTGCCTAGGCAGGGGGTTGGACTAGAAGATCTTCAAGGTCCCTTCCAACTCTGTTATTCTATTCTATTCTATTCTATTCTATTCTATTCTATTCTATTCTA